AATAGAGATGGGATAAAATTACAGAAAAATAGAGATCCTCATCCTTACAGCTTCAACTGATTGCCACTTGAGATCAAGTTCAGCTTGCAATTCCTCTTTAAAATATATTATAATGCATTAACATGTGTTATTGAGATGGCATGTCTTCCTTGGAAGCATGTAGAATAAGCAGGACCTGACTAGATAAATTGTTTGCTCCAAGCTACCACGTTCCACTTTCCTGGTCATAAGAATGTAAAAAATTGGTTGAAATTGAAAAAAAAGAAAAATTAGTGTTAATTCACACCGCGTTGCTCCCAAAGTAGACGAGGGTAAGAGGAAGTGCTGGGTGGGAATTGCTGAGCGTGTTCCAAAGCCAGCACTTGTAGTCAAATCTTTGCAACAAAAAATAGAGCATTGCAGTGCTGAGTTCTGATCCAGCTTTTCCAAACCTTCTCATTCCAGACTTCTCATGGGATTCATGGTGGTGACTGCCTTCCTGTCAATGTGGATCAGCAACACGGCCACCACTGCTATGATGGTCCCCATATCACAGGCAGTGCTGGAACAGCTGCACAAGTCAGAACTGGAGTCCAGTGGTGCTGGCGAAGCATCTGAAAATGACAACAAAGCCTTTGAGCTGCAGGAAGGGTCAACTCCATCTGTTAACTCCAACGAAAAAGAGGAAAAAGGTGAGTGAATTCTGGGCAGCTTTCTCTTCGGGGTGATGGAGGATGACCTGATGCCTTCTTCACTGGCATAAGACTTGACAGTAAATTCTAAAAGAAAAACACACCTCAAGCATCCTGACTGCATCACACAGCATTGATGAGGCTCTTCCAGGAGCCACACAAAACCACCATAAAAATCTGCTGATTAGACTCAAGTTGGAAATAGATCAAAAGATACAAAGACATGATAACTAATCAATAAACCAACAACAGGAATACATTTTCCACTGGCTGAAGCCTTTCCATGAGGCTTGATATTTTTCTGTATCTTTGTCTTAGTTCAGTTCTTGCCTACTGTGTAACGGATCAGATAATATGGAATTCCCACGGGAAAATTTCTGGCCTATTTCAAGCTAGAAGGGTAGGGATTAAAATGATCTTTCTAATCCAAAGCTACACAATCAAGCAACACTATCTCTTTACCAGCTGTCTTGCCCTCTCCTCATGTTTGAGATGACTCCATTGCTTCTGTAAGTTCCAGTACCAGCGGTCAGGTGCTGGTACAGAATAAGTTCCCTTCAGCCCAGCTCCTCTGGCTCTCTTGTAACTCCCTGAATTCTTACCTTTCTCCCCTCCATGTGCAGTTCAGACATCACCCTAGTTCACCAAGAAGGGTCAGCAAAATGGGCAGAAGATCAAAAAATTAACAATGCCAGTCTTAAAAAGAGGAAACTTGGTTCCATCAGCTTTGAGTTCCATTGTGTCCTAGCCTTGAAATACTGAGCTGTGCAGGCACAATATCTTTTCCTGTCCAACCAAGCTTCTGCATCTCTTTTGTTCCTTGGCATCCAGGTAATGCTGATGTCCTGACAATTGAGGAAGACAGAAAGAGAAATGAAGATCTGGTAGAGCAAAAACACATGAAACTCTCCAAGGGAATGTCTCTCTGTATTTGTTACTCAGCCAGTATTGGAGGGATTGCAACTCTGACTGGGACAACACCAAATCTGGTACTGCAAGGACAAGTTGATGAGTAAGTCTTTTTGATCATGGGATTACAAACCCGCTAAATTGCATCATTCTGTACAACTGACTTCCAGGCAGCATAGAGAAAAAAATTATCACTTTGGTAACTTTGCTGGAAAGTGAGCTTCTCTTCCTTAAGGGGCCTCACAGTACCTCTCCTGTTTTAATTCATTAAGT